GATAAACAGGAATCCACAGTACCCTGCAAAGATAAACTTATGGCGCTCCTCACCCCAGAAAGAGTTACAGCCAAGGACACGCACACATTTGAGTAGGCCTGCTGTGTTTGGATGACAGAGCCAGAGTGGGGACACCTCAGGTCCGGTCCCGCCCGATAGCAGCAGCCACAGCCCGAGAGGGCGGCTCACGAGGCCTCACTCTGCAAAGCCGCACATGCATTTCCCTTCCTTTTGAGGCTTGCTGTACGCTGTTTCCCCTTTTTGCAGGTCAAGAGGCTCAGAGCGGTGGGGTTCTCACCTCCGCTGTCAGGTGCCTCCCCTGCCATCCACTCAGGACTGTGAGCAGATCGACCTTCTTCCTGGGCTTGGCCGTCTAATCTGGGAATCGAGGGTGTTTGTGGAGTGCGCCTTCCCATCGACACACATGGGCTGAGTGATTGCTCTGGGTTTGGGGTTGGGCTCCAGTTTTCCAATTGCCATCGGGTCAAGTCTGACTCAGGGCAAGCCCATGTGTTTCAGAGAACTGTGCTACATAAGGTTTTCAAGGCTGCGACCTTTCGGAAGCAGATTGCCAGGCCTTTCTTCTGAGGTGCCTCTAGATCAGTTTGAACCACCAACTTTCCACTTAGCAGCCCAGCGTTTAAACATTACACCACCCAGGGACTCCTTGGGGTTAGGTTAGATGCTGATAATAGAGAAATGAATAAAGACATCGGACCTGGTGTAATGGGAGACACAGGACAGTGTAACGAGTGCCACGTCAGAGAGACAAGGGGTGGCTTCCCCGGTAGGGGAGTGTTTGGAGAGGTTTTGCCCAGGTGTTCAGATGTCTGAGCCCGTCTGGAGGCTGATAGTCCAGTAGCAGATGGAGGTGGCAGGGAAGAGCATTTCCTCCAAAGGGAACAGCCTGTGCTAAGGGGGAGAGGGATGAGGGATGATCATGTCAAAGGATGCCTCCAGTTCTAACCACTACAGGTGCTGGGGGTCATTAGGGAAGATGAGGGGAGGAAGGCTGGGTGTCCGGGCACTCCCTCCCCTTGGGGTCAGTGTCTCAGAGAAGGGATAAAGATCTCCTTCCAGAGTCAGAGTCCCAGCTTCAGGGACCCTGGGGCTGCCCATGGGGCATGTTTCTGATGTTCTTGATATTTGTGAGAGTCTTTGAGCCAGTTCTTGTTGGAGCTGAGAGAGCCTTTTAGGAATCTAACAGCCTCATTTTACAGCTCGGAATACTGAGGCCCCAGCAGGAAAAGGCTCTTGCTCAAGGTCAGTGCCAAGGCTAGAATGGGGACCTTCATCTCCGTCTTGCCCAGGGTCCTGGTACTGATGCCACCATTGTCACTATAGCATAACACGCATGTCACTTAGTACAGGCCAGATATGTTCCGTGTTTTACATCTATCAGCTCAGAGTAACCCCATTCTACAGATGAGGAAGAGAAGCACAGAGAGGTTCAGGGACTTGCCCAAGGTCACACAGCCTGAGTCTGCGGGCCTACTCTCTCCCTGGGGACCCTGGGGACCTGAGCAGTCCTGATGCCTAGGAGGTTGGTACACACGTGTGAATACTGACAGTGGAGGGGTCCTCTGTGGGACTCTGAGGCCTCAGGGAGCTCTGCTGGAGAGCAGAACCAGGGTCTACAGCCTAGCTGGGGAGATCAACACATCAAAGATCATTTCATGGAAAGTGGGGGAGAGGCCAGCCTAAGGTGCAGGGAGAATTCTCGAAGAAGAGGCCCCAGCTGAACCTGGAAGGAGGAATAAAACCGTCCAGGAGAAGCAGAACTAGAAGGGCGTCCTAGGATGGGGGCTGGAGGCACAGAGACAGGGAAGCAGAGCGAGCCTGGCATGCCCCGGGACCACCAGTGGCTCGGTTTGCTGGAGCATGAAGCAGGAAGTGTTGGGGCTTCAGGCTGGGAGTGGGGAGGGCAGGGGCCAGGCTGAGGCTTTGGACTCTATCCTGGGGTACTGGGGAGCCACAGAGGGTTTTAAACAGGAGCTACACAGTAGATTTGTGTTTCAGAAAGATTACCCTGGCCCCTACAGTGACTTGGGCCTTGGGCCAGGCCTGGGGAGGCCGGGTGGGTGGGGATATCTCTACGGGACTCCCCTTCTGAGGATGCCATGGGTTGTATACTCAGAGTTCAGCTCTGGTCCCTTGCTGGACAGTTGTGGGATGAAGCTGAGATGTGGAGCAGGAGGAGCTGTGCCCGGCTGACCCCGCTCCTCCTTCCTCTGTTTGAGGACCACAGGCCACAGCTGGAGGTCTGGGGAATGGGAGACAAAAGGTCTTCAGACCGAATTTAGACCAGGGCCAACCTTTGTGTGGGTCATATTAAAGGAGGTGGTTGGATCAGAGCTTCCCCGACTGACCGTGTCCTGAAAGAGCTGCTGAGAAGGCTCCATGGATACCCTGCACACACCGCCCACCTGGCTGTACTAAAGGCTCTGACAAGTCCTGCAACATGGACAGCTTTTTAATTTTGTTTCCAAAACTTTTTTGATGTGAAGTCTTATTTTTCTCTGAACACCTATGAACTTCCCTGAGAGATGAAGAGTGGCAGAAGCCACTTTGGGCAACGCTGGTATACAAGAGAGAGCACTGGACCAGGAGTCAGAAGGCCTGACTGAGCCTCAGTTTCTCTCTTACTCCCTCCTTTTTTGGCGGTTGTTGCCTTGTATATTGAGTGTGAACACACTGCCTTCCTGTAAAAGGACAACAGATCTTGTGTTTCCACCTTGGGGTTGCTGTTACCCGCAGGGCCCGACACTGAATGAATATGTGAGTGAATCAATGAAAGAAAGAAATAGAGAGAGGGAGGGAGGGAGGAAGGAAAAAGGAAGAGAGTAAAGAACAAAGGAAGGAATGAAATAAGAAAGAAGGAAGGCAGAAGCAAGAAGAAGAAAAGAAAGTCTAAAATGAGATGCAACCTGTGCAGCAGGGTTATTATGAAATTAAGTAAGTGAATGTCTGTGAGATGAGTTTTAAGTTAGTAAACTTTAAAGTCCTGTCCACGAGGAAGGGCGTTTTTCTCAGACACACTGTAATTCAAGCCCCTTACTCCCCGCAGACCGGCCCCTTGCCTGGAATTGCACCATTAGTCTCTCATTCGCCTTAGGGCACCGAGGGCCGCGATTAAGTTGTGGCTGTGTCACCTAGCAGGGTGTCCATTAAGCTGATGGCAATTACCTGACCCGATGAATCCTGCGGAAGACGGGTCCAGAGGAAAAGATGAGAACCAGACAGCTCCTATGTGGAAGAGGGGATACGGGGCAGGGGTTGGATGTTGCTGGGTGTTCTGGGGGACGAGGGGATCATCGTGGGGTTTGCCCACTGCCACGCCACCGCCCTCAACCACCAGCTCCCAGCCAGACAGGCCTGGGCCATGTCTCCTACCACTGAGGACACCCAGGTCGGGCAGCTTAGAGGGGGCCATGCCCAGGCTGTCCTTTGGGGCTGGGAGCGAGCATCTGGCCCATTTTTCCAAGAGTAGCCCAGTCGGCCAGGGGGTCTGAGGTGCGCCCTGCAGGAAATCCACAAAGCGCAGTCCCCCACCCCCTGTGCCCCTGGGTCGTCCGGCCCATCCACTGGGGTCAGGCCTGCCTGGCCAGCTGTGAACACATGGACAGGACACTCCTCCTGGGAATGGGCACAGGAAAACAGGAGGTCACTGCTGGCTACGGTCAGGTTGGGCCCTTGTTCCCTTTGCCCCCTCCTCTTCCCCCATTCCTCAGCCCACCCCCCTCAGGGTGACAACCCTGCTGTCCACGGCCACTCCTGTCCACACAGAGGGGAGATGAAAGGTGCCGCTCTCAGGGGTCTTGTGCAAACGGTTTAGGAGAAACGCTGCCTCCTGGCCAGAGCTGAAGTGTTCCCGCCCTAAGCAGCCCTGGGTGACCCTAGGAGGCAGCCAATGGGGAAACTGAGGCTCCTCCTCCTCTGTCAGGTCTCTACCCAATGCCACTCCTTAGAGAGACCCCCCCCCCGCCTTGTCCCTGCTCCCTCACTGTTTCCTCCAAGGCGTTTCATCGCCAGCTGACACCCTCTCGTGTATTTGTGGACTCCTCTATTTTGTATCCTACTTCAATGTCAGCCCCATGAAAGCAGGATCCATACCTAGCGGCGTCTAGCACATAAAAACCAGTTGCCCTCGAGTCGACTCCAACTCACAGCAACCTCCTGTGTGTCACAGTAGAACTGTGCTCATAGAGTTTTCCGTGGCTGATTTTTCAGAAGTGGATCACCAGGCCTTTCTTCTGAGGTACCTCTGAGCGGACTCCAACCTTTCAGTTAGCAGCCAATTGCATTAACTCTTTGCACAACTCAGGGACCTCATCTAGCACATAGTAGGTGTTTAATAGATATTTCTTGAACAAATGAAGGATGTAAGGACTGAACTCAAGCGAGGTGAGGGGAAAGGCCTCCCCAAGGCCACTCAGAGTCAGCAAAGGACAAGATCTAGAACCCAGGTCCCTGTCGCCTGGGCCCAGGCTCTTTCCAATTTCTTCCAGGCTGTGTCCCCAGGATGACCAAGAGGGCCCACCTTCTTCTTCACTAATCTCCTCTATCCACCTCCCAAAAAAAGGGGGCTGTTACTCCACGGGCTCCAGACACACGCCTCACCACCCTCAGGGAATTCTTTCCAGACAGCCTTGTGATAAGTGGAGCATAGACTAGGGGTCGGCACACTTTTTCTGTAAAGGTCCGGATACTGTTTTAAGTTTTGTGGGTCATAGGGTCTCTGTCACAACTGCTCAACTCTGTTGTAGAAAAGAAAGCAGTCAAAGACAGTATGTAAATGAATGCGTGTGGCTGTGTTCCAATAAAGCTTTATTATAAAAACAGGTGGTGGGCTGAATTTAGCAAAGAAAAATTCAGGGCACCCATTAAATTTGAATTCCAGTGTCCTATATTTTATCTGGCAACACTAGACCAGTGGAGCTGGGGAGAACTCTGGGAGCTGTAGTGAACCTTGAATCAAACAGGGAAGAGAACAACCGTCCATGGAAGGCTACCACATGGGTGACCTGGGCCGGACATCGTACGTCTACTATCTCATTTCGTCTTCCCAGCAGCCCTGTGAGGTGAGATGTGGGGTCCCCGCTTTACACATGAGGAAATAGGGACTCAGGGAAAGAGAGGAATGAGTTCAGGTTCTCGTAGCTGCTCAGGGACAGAGCCGGGATCCAAACCCAAGGCATTTGGCTCTAAAGCCTGTGGTCTCTCTTACACCAACCTTGCTTTACAGTGTAAAAACCGAGGCTCAGAGAGGGGAAGTGAGGTGTCCAGGGCACACAGTGATGAGGACGCCTGGCTGGGACTGGAACAAAAGACCTCCTGGCTCCCGTCCCCGAGCTTTCCCCGGAGACAAACAGGACCTGAAGCCACTGAGCCAGATGGTCAGTTTCTGGAGGGCTGGATTTGTCTCGGCATCCTCAGAGCCTGGAAGTCAATTAGGAGCTGGGTGATGATGAGTTAATCAATGGATTCATTCTGGCCAGGATTTCTCAACCCTGGCACTATTGATTGATATCTTGGACTGAATAATTCTTATGGTGGGAGGGTTGTTGTGTGCATTGTAGGATGTTGAGCAGCATCCCTGGCCTCTACCCACTAGATGCCAGTAGCACCCCCTGTCCCAGTTGCGACAACCAAAAATTTCCCCAGACATTGCCAGATGTGCTCTGGGAGACGCAATCACCCAGTTGAGAAGGACTGATCTTGACTAACGCAGAGGTTTGAACCTCCTCAAAGAACTAACCAGGAACCCTCACTTGTCACCCCTCCAGAGGCCGTGAGTCAAGCCCCCAGGCCTTTGGCAAAAACATTCTGGGTGTTCAGAATGGGACCAGGCACTACTGGGAAGCCCTGAAGAGCAGAAGAAGGGGTTTGTGTTGGTCGAGCCTTGATAAAAATCTCTTTCAAGCAGAGAATAAACACCAGCGATGCAGCTCTGTTCTGTAGGCAGCAAATGAGGTTTGAAGCCAGAGGTTCCGGAACCTGTCTGTGCACTGAATCCCCCAGAGCAAGCTGTCAAAAGCTGCTTCTGGGGCCTCGCCTCATGGACCAAAGTGGACTCTGGAGGGTGGTCCAGGAATCTGTCTTTTCAACAAGCCGCCCACTTCTGCCCCATAATTCTCTTTCAGCCAGCCCAGCTCAGTTCCCCCAACAGGTGTTTGGGACCAGCTCCTGAAGCTCCCTCTAAGGAATAAAGGGGAGGAATTGGGGCCCAGGGCTGCAGCAGGAGAAGTTTTGGCCAGGGAACAGGGATGCGTGATTCCTGCCACGTGGGTGGCTGACTTCTTTGCGTCAGGCTGGTCTGGTGGAGACAATGACCTCACCTGCTTGGAAGAGCCCGTAGCGGCTGCTCAGCTGTGGGGTCGGGGGGTGGGGTCCCGAGGGCCAGACAGAGAGGAGTTTGGGGGCTGAGAACGCCTCCCCCTAGCCTGGCTGTGGTTCAGCGCGGTGGCCTGTGGTCTGGCTGGGAGCAGGGGACCAGACCTCCCCCGTGGCTGGCACCCACTCAGCAGCCTCTTCCCAGCCACGGTGGGAAAGGGAGAGGGGCTGACGTGGGGCTGACCTCACACCCGGCTCCCCTCCTCCAGCACCTCCCTCGGGTTCACTGCTTCTGGGAAGCAGGACCTACTGGGGGCCGCTGGGGGAAAGGGAGGTGACTCTGGCCTTCCTGCAGGAAGCAGAGAATGTGGCAGGCTGAACTGAGTGTGGGATACTGAGGGCTGGGTCCTTCTGCCAGAGTCAGAGCTGGGTGTGGGAAGACAGAGGTACCACCTTGCACCCCAGTACCTCCTCTGCTGCCTACAGGTGAGCTGAGGTTTCCCTGAGGAGGGTCACCATGGTGGGGGCTTGTGAGGGTTCTAAAAATAAATCAAGAGCAGAGCAGATATTCTGGTAGGGGGGACGCAGGTGCAGTGTGAGTATTCAGATGAGACCTGGCCCACTAACCCATGTGCTTACTGTATGCCAAGCATTCTCTCATCCAGTCTCTCAATAGCCATATGAGAGTCATGTGACAGATGAGGAAACTGAGGCACAGAAAGTTAATAAATTTGCCTAAGCTCCTATAGCTGGAAAGGGCAGAGCCAGAATCCATATTAAGGTGTTTGGAAGCCCTGGTCCCACGTGTGGGGTGCTGCACTGTGGCGCCTCTCAGCCTCGAATGAGCATGAATCCTGAGGACAGCACTGAAATGCAGATCCCAGTTCAGTGTGGAGGGTGGCAAGTTCCCAGGGGTGTGGATGTGGCCGGCTGAGAAGGTTGAGCTGGGCAGGGCCAGCTATGTGACTTGCAGGACCTTGTACATAATGAACTAGGAGCCCTGGTGGTTCAGTGGTTAAGAGCTTGGCTGCTACCCAAAAGGTCGACAGTTCGAATCCACCAGCCACTCCTTGGAAACCCCTGGGGGCAGTTCTACTCTGTCCCATAGGGTCGCTATGACTGGGAATCACCTCGACGGCAACGAGTTTGGGTTTTAACGGGGGTTGGTGTATAATGAAGGTCCCTGGGTGGCAAAAACAATTTGTGCTTGACTACTAATCTAAAAGTTGCAGGCTGAAACACACCCAGTGGTGCTGCAGAAGAAAGGCCTGATGATCTGCTTCTGTAAAGATGACAGCCATTCTGTCACACATGGGGTCACCATGAGTCAGAATCAATTCAACTAGACAATGACGGTTTGTTTCATTTTGTTTGGTGAAAAATGAACTCTAGGATGGTACAAACAGTTAAGGCACTCGGCTGCTAACTGAAAGACTGGAGGTTCACAGCCCCCCCCCAGAGGTACATCAGAAGAAAGTCCTGCAGATCTACTTCTGAAAAACCAACATTGAAAACCCTGTGGAGCACAGTTCTATTCTGGCACACATGGAGTCGTCATGAGTCAGAGTTGACTGGATGGCAACTGGTTTCAACTGCTGCCAGATGAAAATGCGGGCCCCTTGTTCAAAAACAATTCAGAATTTCAAGATGGCAACAGCAGAGCATTAAACCAAGCATGAGGCCCTTCAGAGTGGGGGTCCGTGATGTCAGGCGTGAAGCTGGGAACTAGACTGAGGTCCACAGGAAGTGGGTGGCCTTCCTCTCTCAGCAAGTTGAACGGGGCTTCTGAAAACTTCTGGAATGTGGAGGATGTTTGGCCCGATTGGAAGGGAATGAGCTGAAGGCAGGGAGACAGTCTGGAGGCTGTCGCACTAGTCCAGGAGAGAAGTAATGATACCCTGGGGCAGGGACGGAGAGAGGAGGGGACGGCGTCAGGCCATGTAGACGCTGATTTGGACACACCACCTAACAAATGACCATAAAGTGGATGGCTTAAAACCACAGGGATTTATCGTCTCACACTTCCAGAGGCTAGATGTCTGAAATCAAGGGGTGAGTAAGGACACACTCCCTCTGAAGACTCCAGGGGAGAATCCATCCCTTGCCTCTTCCAGCTTCTGGTGGCTCCAGGCTTCCTGGGCTGTGGCCACATCATTCCAGTCTCTGCCTGTCTTCACATGGCCTTCTCCTCTTCTCCCCACGCGTCTCCTCTGGGCATCTCTTATAAGGACAGTTGTCATTGCAGTTAGGGCTCAGTGGATAATCTAGAGTGTTCTCATCTTGAGATCCTTAACCACATCTGCAAAAACTCTTTTTCCAAATACGGTCACATTCACAGGTCCCAGGGGCTAGGACGTGGACATATATTTTGGGGGTCCACTATTCAACCCCCGACAGTGGGTGATGCATGTGATGCCCCTTCCCAGGATGGGATGAGAAGAGCAAGCCGAGGAGGACAAGATTCCCGCACCCACAGCTACCACAGGGGCCCCGCACGCGGCATCCTCATCTGCAGAGAACTGTCTTTCTGGGGAGCTGGGAGGGCTGCCTGCTACCTGTGGGGGTGGAGGGTGGGGACATGGTGAGCAGGACGAAGAGAAAGCCTGCTGACAGGTAGAACCTTTCCCAGCTTTGATTCATTGACTGTCTGGGCAGGAGCTGGACCAAATTGCTTGGAATGACAAAAATGCCTCACACATACTTTCCTCTTGGCCGGTGGTTTGGTTCTCAGCCCGTGGAGGAGGCCCGTCTGCTCTGCTAACCCCCACTCGCCCTCCATCCTACCATGTCTGCAGCTGTGCCTCTGCACCCCACCCACCCCTCCCCTGAGACACCTTCTCTTCGCCCACGTCATTGAGGCTCAGATGGAGTGGGTAGGCCTTGACCGCGTCCTCATAATTGAAATATTTTGGCCCATTAAGTGAGGCTGGAGCAGGGCGGTGCTACCCCAACTCAAAGGGTCCGAGGCAGGCTGGGTCCTCCAGTAGGGTGGGAGGTGGTGGGTGTGGGAAATGTCCTCAGAGTAGAACTGCCCGATAGGGTTTCCAAGGAATATGGAAAGCGAGCCCTGGTAGCCCAGTGGTTAAAGCGCTTGGCAGCTAACCAAAAGGTCAATGGCTCGAACCCCCAGCTGCTCTGCAGGAAAAAGATGTGGCAGTCTGCATCCGTAAACATTACAGCCTTGGAAACCCTATGGGGCAGTTCTACTCTGCCCTGTAGGATTGTTATGAGTCGGAATCAACTCGATGGCAGTGGGTTTGGTCTGGTTTGGAATTTTTACTACAGCAGACTGTCATGTCTTTCTCCCATGGAGCGGCTGGTGGGTTTGAATCACCAACTTTTAGTTAGCAGCCGAGCACATAACCACTGTGCAACCAAGACTCTGCTGATGCCAAAGCCAGTGACACATAAATGCTTTCTATTTGGACCCCAGACAGTGGCCCTGGAACAAGGTGGGCACCAAGACTCAAAGCCCACTGACTCCCCAAGCCCCCTCCCATCTACACCATCCCTCACGTGTCCCCTGGCATTGCTCCAGCCCTCACAGAATCTTCCAGGAGGGAGGAAGTTATCTGATGTACATTTTGTTAGTATATTATACGTTAATAAAAATTTATAAAACCCTGAGGGCAACTCGTATACCAATGTTCATTGCAACACTATTCACAGTAGCCAAAAGTAAGAACAATCTAAACGTCCATCAACAGATGAATGGATAAACAGCAGGTGGTATATACATACACACAATGGAACACTATTCAGCCATAAGGAGAAATGAAGTTACGATAAATGCTACAATATAGATGAACCTTGAAAACATCACGCTGAGTGTAATAAGTCAGTCACAAAAGGACAAATATTGTATGGTTGCACTTATAGGAAAGATTTAGAATTGGCAAACGTATAGAGACTAAAGCTTATCAGTGGTTACTAGAAGTGGGAGTAAAAAGGAAAGTGGAATTATAGCTTAGGGGGCACCCGGTTCCTGTGAAGTTGATGGAAAATTATGCAAATGAGTAGTGGTGATGGTTGCGCAACATGATAATTAATGTCGCTGAATTGTGCATGAAAAAATGTTGAAATGACAAATGTCATGCTGTACGTATCTTTTGCGGAAAAAAACCCACGAAAACCTGGGGACAGGGAGAAGCTTCTGAGGCATGTTCAGGCTCTGCCCTACCCTAGGACACAATAGTCCCCTCTCGGATTGGGCTGAAGCCCCAGTTAGTGCTGGGTCACCCTGGCCCCTTGCAGAATCCCCTTCACTGGACTGCGTGTGACAACGGGCACCAGCTTTTGCAAAGACCACCACAGGCCCAGCCCGGAATCCTTAATAGGGATGCCTCCTTGAGTGGAACATCAACCACCTCTCAGGCCTCACACTAGCTCCCCAGGGGTCTCAAAAGAAATTCCCTTTAAAATCCAGGCTCAGGGTGGCCTCTGCTTCCCCTGAAGTACAGGAAAGCGTCCTCCTTTATGATCATAAGAATCACATAACAGATCATATTTCCCTTTTTTCTTTGTCTGCCAGGAGTCTCAGAGCCCACTTTGAAGCTTGGCCACAGTAATGACGTGGTCCCTTGTGAGCTGAAGCATTTATTTTCTTTATTTCTGTGGTCTTGGTTTTATCAGTCTGCTTACATCTTCTCTGATCCTGATTCTCCTTATCTATTTCATCAGTATTTGTTATTGTGTGCATTCTGTTGTAAGAGACTTATGTGCTGTTTAGAACAAATAGGGCTATAAGTAAGAAAGAAAATACATCTCGTTTCCGTTATGACGTTAATATTTATTTCTGAAAATGTGGGAATTTAGTGTAATAAATGAATTCCCCTTCTGCATGAAACCAACTGTCATCGAGTTGATTCCGACTCATGGTGACCTCATGTGTGTCAGAGTAGACGATGCTCCGTTGAGTTTTCAATGGCTGGTTTTTCAGAAGTAGATCACCTGGCTTTTCATCCGAGGTACCTCTGAGTGGACTCAAACCTCCAACTTTTCAATTAGCACCCAAACACTTTAACCATTTGTACATCCACCCAGGGACTCTTTAAAAGAAAGGCCTGGTGATCTACTTCTGAAAAATCAGTCACTGAAAACCCTATGAGCACAGTTCTACTCTGACACACATGGTTGCCATGAGTCAGAATTGAATCGTTGGCAACTAACCACAAAACAAAAACAAATGTAGGGAGGCTGGCCACATTTGGGGAAGGACAGAGATGAAGGAGATGCAAAATTGGGGGCCAATTGGCCTGGGAAGCCAGAATCAGGTGGCAGGTTTGGAAAGGTGAAAAGTTCCCACCGCCCCCCCATCACCCACTGTGGTCGCTGTGAGAGCCCAGATTGAGAGATTTGGGTTGCTCTGGACAGATACACATGCAGCAATGCTTAGGAATGTGAGCCATCTGGGGGGATGGGTAGATAGGCACCTCCTATTCCAATAGAATGGAGAGTGGTATCCTCAAATCAGACGGCCAGGAGGCCAGGGAGCTTTTACTTTCTTGAGGGAAAGGATTGGATGCTTGGGTGTCACCCTAGATCCAGGTTCCAACTGGGGGGAACAGCTCATGTCCTGCAGGGAGATATAAGCAGGTGGAGAGAAGCAGGGATAGCAAGAGAGAGACAGAGGGAGACAGAGATGAAGTGCATCCAGTGTGACCTGAACCTCCAGCTGCTGTCCCCACTATCCTAGTCATGTGCCTTTGGGTCGGCTCCCAGGAATCCTGTCACTGCTGCTTGTTCTGCCCTGGGAACATGGGGCAGGGGGCCCCCTTCCCAGCACTCCTGACAAGGCCACTTGTACCACACATCAGCCATGTTCCAGCAACCTCATGACCCAGATCAAGAACCAACTGGAACAGCTCGTCAGTAGTGCCAATGCCCTACTATTTCTGTATGTAAAATACCCCTTCCCATTACTGGGTAGAGGAAGGCGTGGACCATGGGTGGCAGAAGTGGGCAAAATTCCTGAAGATATCAGTAGAGGCTGCCCTGACCTGGGCTTTGGGGAGGCGAGGCTGACCAGGGAGGGGAACTTTTTAGAAATGGAAAGAAAGAAGGGGGGCTTCTACCCCCAGCCCTTTCCAAGGATTACGTTGGGGCAGAGCTGGGGTCAGAAAGTACAGGGCTCAGCACTTCAGGTTTTAGGATTCCTCCACCAAGTGGAGCAAAAGGCAGATAGAGATACACAAAGGAAGGAAAAGTGAGGAGGTATTCAGAGAGGGACGGTGGGTGGTGGGTGTCTGGGAGCAGAAGGATGCCACCGACAGAGCAACCCCATGTGTGTCAGAGTAGGACTGTACTCCATAGGTTTTGCAATGGCTGGTATTTTGCACGTGGATCACCAAACCTTTCTTTTGAGGCACCTCTAGGTGGACTCGAATCTCCAACCTTTCAATTAGCAGCCAAGGGCATTAACCATATGTACCACCCAGGAACTCCTAGTACTAATACTAAGTAATAATAACAGTCCTTACATGGTACATAGTAGAGGGCTTGATTCTTTACCAAGTGCGTTCACACCCAGATTCCATCTGCCTGTCCTGACCATCCTGAGATGCCCAGAGGGCACAGAATTGGGTCCCCATGCCATAGGTGGGAAAACTGAGGCCCAAGAGCTTGTCCCGAGGGTTGGTGGCAGGACTGGAACACCGATCCCTGACTCCTTGCTCACCTCCCGTCTGCCCTCTGTTCCTCAGTACCCGGCCCAGGGTGAGCCGTTCCCCAGCAATGTGGACAAGCTGTGTGGCAGCCACAACTTGACAGACTTCCCACTCTTCCACGCTGACGACAAAGAGAAGGACAAGCTGGTGAAGCTGTACCGCATCATTGCCTACTTTAACACCTCCCTGGGCAACATCATGGAGAACGAGAAGACCCTCAACCCCAACGCCCAGAGCCTCCACAGCAAGCTGAGCTCCACGGTGGACACCTAGCTGGGGTTCCTCAGCAATGTGCTCTGCTGCCTGTGCAATGAGTACAACAGTGGCCATGTGGACACGTCCTACAGCCCCTACACCTCGGGCAAGAACATCTTCCAGAAGAAGAAGCTGGGCTGTCAGCTCCTGGGGAAGTACAAGCAGGTCATCACTGAGCTGGCCCAGGCCTTCTAGGAACAGGATTGTGAAGTGTACTGTGGATCAAGGGATCTCGGGAACAGGATCTAGAAGTGGGGGGCTCTCACAGTGTGGCAGGGGGTCATCACTAAACTCAAGTGAAGATTCTGGCAGAAACTCACAGCCTCCTTGCCAGTCCACTCCACTGAGGGGTGGGCTGGGTGGTAGCCAAACAAGGTCAAAACTTCCTTAGATAGGGCCTGGACACTGCGCCAATTAGAAGGTGGCATCTCTTCAACTGGAAGATGGCAACCAGGCCCCATGGTGTCAGGCTGGCGAGTGGAGTGAGACCTGGACTTCTGCTTCCATCTGACCCTCGGGTGTGGCTATGGGCAGTAAGCAAACACATTGTCTCCGGTGGCCCTGACCACATGGCAAGAGAGCAGTTGAGGGGCCCTGAAACTGTCCTGACCCAGCACCCTTCCCCCAAAGATGCTCCTGCACAGTGGGAGCTCCTTAGGTGTCCCGAACACCAGTGAGGACTCAAGGGCTGGGCATAGGAGACCTCATGAAGCTGGAGCTGTGTGGGGGAGATGGAGCTGTGTGGGGGAGATGGAGCTGTGTGGGGGAGATGGAGCTGTGTGGGAGAGCAGCTGCCCTCTGCTCTGGAGAGGGTGGCATGAGCTCACCCCATCCCTGACTCAGACCAGGAAGCTGTGGTCCCCTCCTGCCCCAGCTCCCCCACACCCCCACCCAGGTCTGGGCTCCGAGGCAGGTAACCCAATCCCTTCCTTTGAGCTGAGGGCCAGGCAAGTGTAGAAATGCCCTCCAGTCTGGGAGCAGTGACAGCTGCTAAGAGGAGTGTTTTGGTTTCTTCTCAAACACTGAGCAGGCCGGCGGTGGTCCTAGCAGTTCAGCAAACTAGATTATGATGCTTTGCACTCACTTTGCTCCTTTCTCTCTCCTTCTCTGAGCACTTTATCCAAGCCCACAGGCTGGCAGGCAGGCAGCAGGCAAGCCCTGAGGCTGAGGCCAAGGCCAGGAGTTACCTGTTCCCATGGCCAGACTAGGATGTGGAGACTCAGCTCTGAGCTTATGGGTCACACTCACCTTTGTCTGGGATCTCAGCATGCTGCCCTTCCCATCTCTCTGCTCTGTCGATGGACAACTCAGGGCCGGCTGACCTTCTCCAAGCTGAGCTACAAGAAAGCCAATCTTGTCTGAAAGCCAGAATTGGTGACTCCAGAGCCCAGTGCCAACTGGGTCTCCCATAATCTCATCACCTTGTGGATACACCTGTGCTGGGCACACCTGAGCGGCCTTCCCTCCCGACCTGCCACTGAGCTGTCAACTCTCCCACCACCCACACCGCTTTAACACTAGCCTGGATTCTGCCCCTTAACACCTTGACTCTCCCCTGCCCATGCCCCCTCCACTACAGCCCTGATTCTGCCCCTTGGTTCCTGTCCACAGTGCTCTTTCTAGAACCAGGCTGGCAGATCAGCATCCCCTGCACACAGATCCTGAATTGTCGCTATGAGTCCAAATCAACTCAACGGCAGTGAGTTTCAGGTATTGTGTGAAAAAGCTGCTCTTTTCTCATTTTCTCCTGCTGGTGTTGACCTATTCCTGGCATCCTAGGTCATGTGCCTGGACCAGAGACGATTTTAAGGAGGAGAGGGGTGCCCTCAGCAGAGGAGCGGATAGGACAGTCATTTTCCAATCATATATTTAAAAAAATTAACAAAAAATCTTTGCTTGTTTGCATGTCTCTCATCCTCCTCCTCTTCTTTCTCCTTCCCCTCATCTCCCTTGGCTCTACCGGAGCGATTTCTCCCATGAGAGAGGAAGTCCAGCCCTGCTTGGCTGGCCCTCCACCATAGACATAGGACATGAGGCTTGTGCCCTGGAATTGAGAGAAGTAGTGGTTTCCCTTCAAACAGTACAAGAGGTTCTGATTTAATGGTACTGGGTGGTGTCCAAGATTTGTTGTTGTTGTTGGGTGCCATCAAGTCAATTTAATTTCACAGCAACGCCATGTGACAGAGCAGAACTGCCCCATAGGGTTTTTTGGCTGTAATCTTTATGGAAGCATATCACCAGGTCTTCTGAGGAGCCTCTGGGTGGGTTTGAACCGCCAACATTTCATTTAGTGGCAGAGTACTTCACCTTAGCACCACCAGGGCTCCTTACCCATTAAAAAATCTGAGATTTTTAAATTTGCTTTGTTTTCTCAATCTCCAGGTTATTGTAATGTGAAGCAGGAGTTGAAAGTCTTGAGTTAGAAGAATGTGGCTGTTAGCAGCTGTCCAGTTGACCCCCGACTCATGGTGACTCCATGTGTTACAGAGTAAAATTGCTCCCTAGGGCTTTCTTGATTGTAATCATCAGGCCTTCTTCCGTAAAACTGCTGGGTGGGTTCAAACAGCCAACTTTTGGGTTAGCAGCCCATTGGAAACTGCTTGTGCCACTCAGGCTCCTTCAGATGGTACAGACGTTCTTAATCTGAGCTCCATTTCCAATCCCCTCATTGTCCTGACCCAACCCCAATTCCCATGCACACTGCTAGCTCAATGGGACCCACATGTGGCATTGTCCTTAGATGTTCCCTGTCCTTTCTTTCCACTGAAAAGGACTTTGCCTTGGGGGACAAATTCCTGTTTGATGAATGTACCTGTGGGAATGTTTCATACTGACAGATGATTTTTATGTATTCAATGTCATATTTAAAGTATTAATTTTTTTAATGAATATCACCCTTGAGTACTGTGCTCTTGTTAAAAAAAAAAAAAAAACCTTATGTAGGTTCAAATGGTGAACAAATACTCTAAGGCATAGATGAGAAGGCTGGGGGCTGCCAGACTAGGTTAGAGGAAGGAAGGGAACAATTAGAATGGCAATAGTGAGAATGTTGATACAATGGGAAGACTGTAACCAATATCACCGAACAAGATGTGTAGAAATTGTTGAATGGAGACCTGTTTTGCTGTATACACTTCCACCAAAAATATAATAATTTTTTTTAATATTTATTTTTTATACTGAAGGAATACTGTCTTAGTTATCTAGTGCTGCTCCAACAGAAATATCACAAGTGGATGGCTTTAACAAAGAGAAATTTATTTTTTCACAGTCTAGTAGGCTAGAAGTCCAAATTCAGGACGTCAACTCCAGGAGAAGGCTTTCTCTCTCTGTCAGCTCTGGAGGAAAGTCCTTTTCATCAGTCTTCCCCTGGACTAGGAGCTTCTCCTCACAAGAACCCCAAACACCAGTGAGGACACCCCGGGTCCAAAGGATGTGCTCTCCTTCCAGAACTGCTTTCTTGGTGGTATGAGGTCCCCCAGCTCTCTGCTTGCTTCCCTCTCCTTTTATCTCTTGTAAGACAAAAGGTGAAACAGGCCACACTCCAGGAAAACTCCCCTTACGTTGGATAGCATCCCAAAATGAATTGCGGCTGGGGGACTCCTGGACCCAACCACAGACAAAGCATGAGGGAGACGACTGGAGTCACTCCAGAGTCCCTGTGTCTGTGGCCATCCAGTCCCATACTATCTTGTTCCCCCAAGGAACAGGGTCCCAGGAGTCTGGGATCAGGGATGCGACCTGAGCAAGGTGTTACATCCCACCCTAATCCTCTTTAACATAATCCAATCTTGCCTCATTAACCACAGGCACAGACTGGGATTTACAACACATAGGAAAATCACATCAGATGACAAAATGGTGGACAATCACACAATACTGGGAATCATGGCCTAGCCAAGTTGACACATATTCTGGGGGGACACAATTCAATCCATGACAAATACTTTTTGGTTTTTTGAGAAATTAATAAAGAATTTGCTCTTGGTATGCTCTCCAGAATATGTTGGACAGGGCTGGAGGGCTGGGACCATCTCGGCCTGAGCTCCCAGCTGATGGGGATCTGCTCAGCAAAGGGCAGGAGGGTGGGAAAAAGGAGACTCCACCTGGTGAGGTTGCTGGTGGGGGCTAGGGCAGGAGTGGGCAGAGCTTGACACAGGCAGAACCAGTGAGGTGGGTGGTGTGCAGGTCATGGGATGCTGCCAAGGAAAGCGAAGTTTGCTCAAAAGTGTGGGAATTATTTGATGTCTTACATGGAGTCAGCTCATTCACCACTAGCCCTCACTTAACTCTCATAGTAACCCTGTGAATCATCTTCCTCTTTTAACAGAGAGGGAACGAGGCTCAGAGAGACTTTCCCAGGGTCACACCGGCAGAGTGTTTAGGGCCGGTCAGAGACACCCCTTTAGCTCCAAATCTCACACTCTTTCCCCTCCAGGGAACTTCAGAGACTTAGAAGAAACCAGCTGCCAAGACCTCTGTCTTCAGGGACGGACCACTGATCACCATCGACGGCAAAGACAGCAGCTGAGAATGTGGTGCAGGAACATTCAGGGCCCTGTTCAGACTCACACAGAATGCTGGGGGCCAGAGCCAGGGCTTTTCCACTGGGCCCTTCCAGGTCTGAGCTGCCCTCTTGTAGGGGACACTTCCTCCCTCCTGCCTCGCCCCACATGGACCCCCAGCCACTGCAACCTTTTCCCAGACTCCTGGGACACCGTTCCTTGGGGGAATGAGATAGGTTGGGACTGGATGGCCACAGACACAGGGACTCTGGAGTGGCCCCAATTGTCTCCCACATGTTTTGTCTGTGGTTGGGGCTGGGAATCCCCCAGCCGCAATTCATTTTGGAGATCTGGGCAGCTTTTCTGAGAGTCACCTACTTGTTTGTTCATGAATGCTTATAAGTGTCAGGTCCTGTGCCCAGCTTCCAAAGGTGAGTAGGACACAAGAGGTGCCTTCTAGAAGCTCATAGACCAGCAGGAGAGGGTGAGTGTGATGGAAGAGGCACACACAAGGTGGGGAGGACCAGGCAGAGGGAGCTGTGCTCCAGGGTCCGGGAGGGGAGTGGGCTGTGGTCCTCTCTGGTCTCTGTGCAATGAAGGACTGGACCAGAGGCCCTGCAGCGTCAGCCTGGCCTTTGACCTGATTAGAAATACACAATCTTACCAACCCACCTCCCATCCCCAACCAAA